GATGAACTCGCAACCCTCGACGAACCTGCCTCCCTCGAAGATTTAATTCGCCTCTCCATCAGGCTAGATAATAGAATTCGAGCCAGAAACAGTTCTAAGAAGCTGAGTACTTTTTCTTCTGCCTCACATAACGTGACTGTTTGTTCTCCTCCTACAGAGCAGATGCCCCCTCAGAGGTCTAAACCCCAGTCTCTACCATTGCCTGTTCAGGCTTCTCATTCAGGCAAAAGGGTTTTCGAACCGATGCAGGTGGGACACACCAGGCTCACTCCTGAGGAGAGACAGAGGCGTTTCCTAAGTAAACTATGTATCTACTGCGGTGAGAGTGGACACTTTATCGCCTCCTGCCCGGCTAAGTCAAAAGCCGGGGCCCGCCAGAGGATCTGAGGAGTCTGGCGGGCCAAATAAACACAATAAAATCTCCTCGATTGTTGCTGCCTGCCACGCTTTTCAGTGATAACCAAAGCCTCTCTTTCTCCGCTTTCATCGACTCAGGCTGTGAACGTAACCTAATCGACTCTAACCTCGTCCAGCAACTCCAAATTAAGACCGTTCCTCTCTCTCAGCCTCTCAGTGTATCCGCTATAGACGGAAAAAGACTCCATCGAGTTACCCACCAAACCCAGCCCCTCGAGCTACTTCTGTCAGGTAACCACCGAGAGACAATAACTTTCTTTGTTTTTCCCTCTGCATGTTCCCCGCTGGTCCTCGGGTTCGAGTGGCTAGAGAAGCATAACCCTCACATTAACTGGACTAAACGTCACCTGGAATCATGGTCTACTGCGTGCCACCAAACATGCCTTCGTTCTGCTGCCCCTATGGTGGGGCCTCCTAGAGGTGGGGGGGAGATGGACTCTCCTGACCTTTCTTCAGTTCCCTCTGAGTACCATGACTTAGCCCCTGTCTTCAGCAAGGTCAGTGCGACGTCCCTACCTCCACACAGACCATACGATTGCGCCATCGAACTGTTACCTGGTGCTCCTCTTCCTAGCAGCAGATTGTACAACATTTCCAAGCCCGAAAGAGAAACTATGGAAAAATACATCAACGAATCATTAGCTGCTGGAATAATTCGTCCCTCATCATCTCCATTGGGCGCCGGTTTCTTCTTCGTGGGCAAGAAGGATGGTTCCCTGAGACCTTGTATTGATTATCAGGGTTTAAACCAGATCACGATTAAAAATAAATACCCATTGCCTCTTCTTGCCTCTGCTTTTGAACCAGTACAGGGTGCAACAGTGTTTTCCAAGCTGGATTTAAGAAACGCCTATCATCTCCTTAGGATTCGAGAGGGCGATGAATGGAAAACTGCCTTTAAGACACCCTTGGGCCAATTCGAATACCTTGTAATGCCCTTTGGTCTAACTAACGCTCCAGCCTGCTTTCAAGCCCTAGTTAATGATGTTCTCAGAGATTTCCTCAACGTCTTTGTTTTTGTGTACATTGATGACATTCTCATTTATTCCAAGGACCTCCATGAACACAAGAAACATGTTTGTCTTGTCTTACAGAGACTACTGGAGAATAAACTGTTTGTGAAAGCCGAGAAGTGCGAATTTCATCAACCTTCAGTCACCTTTTTGGGGTTTGTGCTCGAGGGCGGCCAGGTAAAACCTTCTGAGGATAAAATCAAAGCAGTCTTAGACTGGCCAGTTCCAGAGAACAGAAAACAACTACAGAGGTTTTTAGGGTTCGCTAACTTCTATCGTCGATTCATAAGGAACTACAGTCAAACCGCCCTTCCATTAACCTCCTTGACTTCTGTCAAACGAACTTTTCAGTGGACTCCCGAGGCTCAAGCAGCTTTTGAAAAGTTAAAATCCTTGTTTTCCAGAGCTCCTGTCCTTATTCAACCTGATCCCGCAAAGCAGTTTATCCTTGAGGTGGATGCTTCAGATTCCGGTGTTGGAGCTGTTCTCTCCCAGAGGCTCGACTCAGATCAAAGAATACACCCATGTGCTTTTTTCTCCCGTAGGCTCTCTTCCGCCGAACAGAATTATGATGTGGGTGACCGTGAGCTCCTGGCTATTAAGCTGGCGTTGGAAGAGTGGAGGCATTGGCTGGAAGGAGCTGAGCACCCGGTTCTTGTGTGGACAGACCACAAAAACCTGGCTTACATCCAGTCAACTAAACAGGCTAATCCTCGCCAATCCAGGTGGTCAATCTTCTTCTCACGCTTCAACCTAATCATCTCCTATAGACCCGGATCCAAGAACGTGAAGCCCGATTCTCTCTCTCGTCTCTACTCCGTCGATCACCCTGAGACGCCTGAACCTGTCCTCCCGGCCTCATGTACCGTTGGAGTGGTCAACTGGGAGATAACTGACCTCATCAACTCAGCCCTGGCCACTGAACCAGATCCAGGTAACGGTCCCTCTAACCGTACATATGTCCCATCTTCTGTCAGGTCCCGTCTTATCCAGTGGATGCACGCCGCCAAATTCTCCGCTCATCCAGGAGTGAGTAGAACGGTTGCTCTCATCTCCAGACGCTTCTGGTGGCCCACTCTCCACAGAGACGTAAAGGAGTATGTGTTGGCTTGCCCTACATGTGCCCGTAACAAGTCCTCTCACCAACCTCCTTCTGGCCTGCTTCAACCACTTCCTGTTCCCTCGCGTCCATGGTCCCATATCGCCATTGATTTCGTCACCGGTCTCCCTGTCTCTCGAGGTATGTCCACCATACTAACCATTGTTGACCGTTTCTCGAAATCCTGCCATCTAGTTCCCCTCAGAAAACTTCCCACGGCCTTCCAGACAGCTCAACTTCTCATAAAACATGTTTTCCGGCTTCATGGCATCCCCCAGGAGATCCTCTCGGACAGAGGTCCCCAGTTCATCTCGCAGGTATGGAGGGCTTTTTGTTCTGCTCTCGGCTGCAAACCATCTCTCACCTCAGGTTACCACCCCCAATCGAATGGTCAAACCGAACGCATGAACCAACAGCTGGAATCCACCCTCCGCTGCCTCACGTCAAATAACCCCTTGGATTGGAGTAAATTCCTCCCGTGGATTGAATATGCCCACAACTCTCTCCGTTCTGCATCCACTGGACAGTCCCCTTTCCAGGTCAGTCTCGGATACCAACCACCTCTTTTCCCCGCAGATGAGGGAGAGATATCGGTGCATTCCGTCAATCAACACATCCATCGCTGTCAGAGGATTTGGAGGGAGACCATCGCCACACTCAACCAATCATCAGTGTCCGCTAAACGTTTCGCCGACGCCAAGAGACGTCCCGCCCCCGAGTACTATGAGGGCCAGGAGGTGTGGCTCTCCACTCGAGACATCCCCCTCAAGGGGATGTCTCGAAAACTCTCCCTGAGGTTCATTGGCCCTTTTAAGATCTCTCGAGTCATCAACCCCTCAGCTGTTCATCTCCAACTACCTTAGTCCCTCCGAATCCACCCTACATTCCACGTCTCCCAAATCAAGCCTGTTTCTTCGAGCCCTCTGTGCCCGCCGTCCGACTCCCCACCACCCGCCCTGGAGGTCGATGGCCATCCGGCCTTCACAGTGCGCCGCATTGTAGACTCCCGTCGACGAGGTCGCGGATGGCAGTACCTCGTCGACTGGGAGGGCTACGGACCGGAGGATCGTCAGTGGGTCCCAGGCTCGTACATCCTCGACCCTGCTCTCATCGAGGAGTACGAGCGTTCCTGCCCATCAACCTCTTCCGGACCGCCAAGGGGCGGTCGTTGAGGGGGGGTACTGTTGGGAGCTGGAGAAAATCCCATCTTTCTCCAGCAGAGTCCGCCGTGGATCCTCTGAGGGAGCCTCCTGCACAGCTGCAGCTCATCTAGATCATCAGAGGATCCACTACATAAGCAGTCTTCAGACCTTGCCTCAACGCTGCAGTGTTGTTCCAGTTGGTCAGCGCTAAAGCCTAGATCCTCAGTGTATCTCCATGACTTTGAATCCAGGTTGGATTCTAACTACTGTCTCTGTTTTCCAGGAAACCCGTGCCTCCTCTGTGAAAGCTCTGGAAGAGCTAACCTGCCGAGCCGACCCTCAGAGCCAAACCCTGAAGATTCACAGAGAATCCCCTAGCAGCTCAGAACCAGAGCTGGGAAATCTAAGCCAAGGTCTGTTCAAGCTAAGACGTGAGACGCTGAAGCAGCAAACGGACTCTGCTGATAAACCCTTCTCCAGAACCAACAGTGACTCTCCCAAAGCTAACCTCAAGAACCCTCAAGGTACAATCAGTGCTCCTTGGAAATCAAATCCTGTCAGCAGTTCAATAACTGTGCTGTCCCTCACGCAGACTCCGGTGAACAAGAATCCAGGCCCGAACCAGAAGCTGTATATTCTGTGTTTTGTGCTTAATAAACTGTTAAACTTTCCATCCTTGTGTCCGTCAGTGGTGTTCTGCATAACTGGGTCTCCTTTAGTGAACCCATCATGACAATAAAATAACCTCAGACCAGATCAGGCACTCGTTTAGTGATCCTATTACATAAACAAATGTACTTAATTGTTTGAAAATGATTATGAAATAACTGTGAAATGTTATGACCCAGTTAAACTTCAAAATAACGGGCAAACACTTAAGTTAGGTGTGCATTAGTAATTGGAAATTAAAAACTGTAATAAGGAAAAAACTAAGAAAAAATAGGACAACTAGCAGTTTAGGTCTGTCTATTCTGTGAGCAAAGATATGTTCTTCTTAAAGATTAATAATGGCAAAATATTTTACAGCTGATTTGTTTTTGCTTTCAATATAATGGCCTAACTTTGACTAATGGCTTAGCTGATCCAAATTATAAATTTTCTGCACCAATAAAATCAAGATAATTGAAAATTTTCTAAATGTTTTTGTTTTTTCTTCCTGTCCCTATTTAGCTTTTTTATTCCTATTAAGAAAAGCATAGAAGAAACAAATGGAAAAACATTCAATCTGTCTTCGTAATCAAAAACAGAAATCTACAACCCAGAGCAGATCAACAAGAAAAATTTCCCATACCCGAATCAAAAAGACAAATAACTAGAACTGTTCTCTACCTGCTGTGAGTCTCCTTCCGTATAAGGCAGCTTGGTGGAAACATGAAACATAATCTCCTTATTATGGAAATTTGTGTAGACAGATTCAGTCCCCGTCTGCCCGTGAGTGACATCAAGTCCACCTCGAAAACTGGAGAAGCAACAGATAAGTATGGAATCAAATTAAGAAGAAAATATGATTGAGAATAGCAAGTATTTGGTTTAAAAGGGTAGAAGAAAAGTTGAGAGAGCAGATTAGAGGAAATACTGTTAGCAGAGCTCTTGACCTACAATCATTATTCAACAATTAGGAATAATTGAGTACTTATTCTTCCAACTCAATTAAAATATTACCACATCTTAAAATATCATAACTCTCTTTCATTTTTCTGATTCAGTTAAATACATCTCCATACAGCTGCTGTGTGGCTGATAACCTGCTATAGACATTAAACAGAGTATAAAAGGATTCAAGTGAAAAAAAAAAATCTCAAACCCTTTAAAGTCATGAAGCTCAATCTTTGTGCCTAAAAACTCCAGGAACTCAATAAACGCTTGACTTTCTTCCATGTTCCCAAACAGCTCCTCCTCAGATGTCTGCAAGCAGAAAACACTTTCCGGGAGTCTGACACACGAGTGTGAAAGCAGAGATTAGCTGGAGTATCTCTAAAAATGTTCTCACCTGGCCAAACTTTTGATAAATGACTCCAAACTTGAAGTTGTTGCTGATTACATACTCATCAAAGGTGACAATGAGTCTTGATGCCTGAGGAGGAAAAAAAGAAGGAGTCCCTGATGTGGACATGATGATATAGAGTTGATGGATGACAGGGACCAGGAAAAGAAAAAAAAGCACAGGAGTCTACCTTTGGATAGAGGACGGGGTAAAACCTATCCACGTTTACCTCTTCACAAACAAGCTGCAAAATAAGAGAAACAAACACGTTTTTCATCCATTTTGAATAAGAATGGAAAACAAATCGTTAATTCAGTATGAAAGTAATCATCTACCTTTGCCATCTGGATCACATTGGGAAACTCGGTAAGGCAGGAGATGGGAATCACATCATGATAGGTTTTGTGTTTTGTTCTGAAATGTAAACAGGGATACTTAAATTTAAGGTGAATCTAAGAGGCTTAATGTGAAGAAGAAATGTTCAGCTATAGAAACAGAAATGGCAAGGGGGTGGGGGGTTTGCTAGTGGTTAGGGCATAGAGCTTGGAATCCGGAGGTTGTAAGTTTGAAACCCACTCCCACAGACTGCCACTCTGTGTCCCTGAGCAAAGACCCTTAACCCCACACTGCTCTCCAAGGGGATGAGTTAGATGCAGAGAGTGAATTTCGTTGCACTGTATTTGTGACAGTGTAATGACAATTAAAAGATGGAAAAAATAAGGACAAGCAAAAAAAAAACTGCATAGAATGAAAGGCATCATGGACAACCTGGATCATCCTCTTCAATAGGCTGTTGAACAACAACAGGGTGTCTCCATTCAAAGGCTTCTCCAAAAATGGTGAAAGACAGATGACTGAATATAATCCTTCCTGCCTACAGTTATTAACGCAACAACTTGTTGAAAAACACCCAACAAGTTAAGACAACATTTAATTTTTGTTCGGAATCAATTTATTCAAAACATGAAGACAGGTGAGCGATCCTATGATCATGAAAAACATGTTTAGTTTTTTTTCTTCAATAGAAGTTATTTAATAGATAATGCAGACATCTTAGATACCAGCTAAATATAAAATGATGACTAGAACATTAGGCTGAAGGCAGGTGGGTTACCTGGGCACAAACACAGTTTCTATTTCCAAGAGTAAATGTCCCACACCTTTAGAAAACATAAAGTTTAGATTAATTAAACCCATCTGAAACATTACAGTTTTCTATCTTAGCAAGTATAATTTATTATAATCAAGCAGTCTGCTGATGTAAAATAAATTAATAACTGTGAGATTGAAAGATTTAGTATTCACCAAATTGTTGATTAGTCAACATGTGTGTAATCTTAGCTAAATATAAAACCAGAGGTTCTGTGGAGAAGTTAAAGGTTTACAAAAGAACAAAATAACGAATAGCAAAATAAAGTCCCAGGAATAAAGACGACAGGCCTACATAGGAAATGTTGGTCAGAGGTTTAAGGCATAGTTAGGTTACAAAAAGATTTGAAAATCCCATGGAGCAATGTGAAATCCAACACTCAAAGTGGAAAGAGGACAGGTCGATGGGAAAGGGGATGGACGGCACCTAAATCGACACCAGATATTTAAGTGAGGAAGCAGGCAATTGTTGAGGAGAAAGTTGTCTTTCAGCTGGCTACAAATGATGTAAGGAAAAATAAAATCTACTGAAGAATGACATCTGATTAGATAAGACCAAAGATGTACATTTGGCCCAACATGTTAAACACTGCGGTAGCAAAATAACATTTAAACATTATGACTTCATTTATGTTGTACCAGAACCATATGCTGATGAATGGAGCTTAATCCAGCACAATCCAGAAAAGACAACCTCAAACTACAAGACTTTGGCGTGGAAAGGGGAAGGTTTGTCATCCAAAAGTCCAGGGATACTGAATATTTGTTTCATTTAAACATGTTTCCTTGATTCATTAAGAATAATCAGTAGTATAGAATAATTTAAGATGATATAAAGCAGAGCATGAGTTGCTCTCCTGGTTCTTTAGGTCTGTAGATATATTCCAGTGGCTGTGATTCTACTCGCTGGGGTGACTGTGGGTGATGTTCACCCATCAGAAAACAGCACAACGTGGAAAAGGTTGTGGGCTGTGTTACCGCAACCAAACTGAACACTCATCCACTCTGAAGATCCATTAACAAGGAAGGAGCACTGCTATTAAAATCTTAAGAGGAGTCTCTTGGGTGCTAAATTTAATTCACAGGTTACACTGCACATTGAGTTCTGCCTCTCAGCCCCTCCTCTCTCTGGCAAAGTGTGATGAGTGGTGGTTTTTAGTGAATAAACATGACTTTGGGCAATGGTGAGGGGGAGGCATTACAGTTTTTCTACAGAGGTGAGTGGTGGGTTGATTGCTGGATATTTTGTGAACACTCTTAAACAAGTCACAATTTATTTCAAGAACTTTGGATATGTTTAGCACTTTTTACAAATGTGGGCTATATTTACTTAAATTAAATGAAGACAATATCCTGCTTGTTGTTGTTTGAGGCTGCTTTTTGTGCTAAATACAGTGGACCCCTCAAAAAGAGAAAAAAACATACTACCATTTTACTGTGGAAATGAAGGGCAGGGTGAAAAAATATAAAAATAAAGAGAAGGAAGAAAAAGCAAAGATGGGCCAGGGAGAAAAACACATTTATTGCAGACAAAACAAGTTAGCGTTGGAGGACAATAATGGAACATAATGGTACCGTAGCATCAAGCGCAGATGCTCTTGATCCCCGATGACTTCGTACTTCATTGAGAAGACCAAGTGGCCGAGGGCCGCATCCATCGTGTAGTAATTAAAGTGTTCCTGGGGGCAGATAAGTGAAGGAAATGTTAGTGCGAGGATGATGTAACTCCTGCAGCAACTGATGGTGGGTGACACAACAAGAAAAAGGCAATGCTCTGATAAATTCACAATAGGGAGAGGAGCAGAGAGTGACAATCCAATTATAATTGTACAAAAGGTTTTGCCGTACAGTCTACTGAACAGGAACAAAACCTGACAATAACTGCACTAATAACGCATTTCTGTTGGAGCAGCCTTCATAGACTCCAGTTTATCCATACATCTTCTAGTACTTCTATGAGTCAAATGAATCTAAAGCAATAGAAAGACGTGGCCTCATTAGTCTCACAGCATATTAATGAGACTACATGTAAAGTAATTAAACTACAACATAAAGCAGAAAAAAGGGGGCTAATGTTTGTTTAAAAGAAAATGGCTTAAATAAATCACAAAACCACCATTCTCACTTTGCCCATGAAATGCTTCCTGTAGATCTTGGCAGTGCTGTTTGTCTCTAATTTAATGTGGGAGGTTGGACAGGAAGGATAATCAGCCTCTGGTGTGTCTTTAGGCTCATGATTGGTTCCTTCGATCCAGTATCCTCCAAACTGGGGCAGCAGGATGAGCGGAAAGGGGCTTCTGCGTCCCAGAACCTGACACCGATGGAGAAAAAACATTCTTCTAAGTAACCAAGTCATTTTAACACAAAGTCTTTTAACAACACAAGCATCAATGTACCTCATGAACACTCGGATAAGGAATGTAGTCCTCTTCTGTCTGCAAAAGAGGGAATAACATGACTTCAGCAAATTCTTTAAACCATTATTTGATATCTCCTATTTTAAGGAAAATAGACATGAGAGCATGATACATACGGGCATACAGGGAAAAATGTGTTTTGAAAGAAAAGATTTATAATCGAAACCACCATGTTGTTTTACTGAAAGGTCAGGGCAAAAGAAAATCTAATCTAAGAAAATGTATTCTGCAGATATGAAGTTTGAGAACATCCTTTAATCTTGGGCTGGATTTGGTAAGAATCTCCTTCCTGTGTTTGGTAACCTCCAGTGACAGGGTGTTAAAATCTTTTCCATGTGAGAAAAGGCTAAGAGTGTTTCAGCAAGAAGAGCAAGATAATATTCCAGCTGAGTGTCTTCATCAGGAGTTCAAATTTATCAGGAACAAAGAAGATTTTCCCTTTTAAGTATCTGGAAGCTTCACTAATTTAGGGTGTTGCTTATTCCACAAACATTAATGTACTACAGTGTTACCACTGCAGGAATACTCAAGTTAAAGTTCTGCTTCTTAACATTTGAAACTAAAAAGCAGCTGCTTGTTATTCAACATCCAACATTTTTTATTGTACTTTCAGAGATGTTAGCAAATACAGAGAGAATGTGCAGGCAATCCTGCTCAGAAACACTTTTTATTATAATTAGTGAAATTGTCCTTCCATCCTCAGAGCAATAAATACCTTACGCATTCAAAAAAAGAAACAAAACAAATTAGCTGTCTGTGAGAGCTGCAAGCCTCTAAACACTCTGACCAATCCCTGTTATTTAGTGCGAATGCGAATAAAAAAACAATTAGATGCCTTCATCTGAAGGTCACTGACTACTTACAGTCAAAGTGGACCAACACTGGGACATAAACCTGCTTAATATCTAATTATTATATAGTATGAGTTTATTAGTGTAGTTTAACAATGTAGTTTCACACCATTTGTCGAAATGAAAGCAGTAAGCCAGCAGAAGAATGATGACCTCATCCAGTTTTTCTTATACTTTCTGACAGCTTTCACTGATGCCCACTTAAACTAATTTGCACAATAATTGTAATTGTTGTCACAGAAGTTTAATCTGTGACTGAATTTAAAGTGCAAACCTGATAGGAGTATGCCCATATATCTGTTTATAATCAAATTTATGAGTATTCTGCAGAGCAAAGCTTCATTGCAAACACTGAACATTTGTCATTAAAACGACCTTTACACTGTCACTGTTGTAACATCTAAAGTAAATACATCTAAGAAAATCATCAGATATTCGTGCCTTCTTTTTAAAGTCTTAAATTGAATTGCTCACCTTCCTTCAATGGATTTTATAAGTAAAATAACAAATATAGAATAAACCCTAGACGAAAGGAGACTGCAACCTATAACCAAAAGCAGTTTAGCCAGGTGGTGGCGCCGATCAGAAGTTAAGCAGATACACAGTTGTGGATGACACTGCCAGTTCATGTCAGGAGCTGTGGCAATGTCAAAACTCTCTCAAATACTGGTTGTGAATTGCCCAGACATGCATCCACAGGTAAATAGTCTGTTTCTCTGGAAACGGTCATCTGATTTTTTTATGATTTGCTTTAATTGGCATCTTTGATGTTTGTGTCCTCTGTGAATATTATCTTGTCCTTACCCGCCTTGGGACAGTGGGGAAAAACTAGCTCCTACACTAACTCTAGCTTACTTACATTGGTGCTTAAAGCTGACTTCTTAATTAATGTTAATTGCCCTCATTTAAATGAGCCAATTTACTGTAACAACTCACTAAAACAAGCTTCAAAACATGATTTGAAAAAAGGCTGATGCTGTTTCAGCTTGATATCAGGGCCAGCTGCATTAGGATAGGCTGTAGTTAATTAATTGCAGCTTTGTTAGGCTTTCTTTTATTGTGCAGTAAAATTTACCAGAAAGAGACATACGTCATTCTTTTAAATTCTAAATCTCATTTAGCCCCCCCCCCCCCCCCCCCCCCCCCCCCCCTACCCCCCCACACCCCCCACCCCACCCCCCCCCCCACCCCCCACCCCTTCCAAGTTGCTTTACATTTGGTTTTGGACTTGACCTCAGACCTCTTGCAGAGTCCGGTCTTCTGCCAAGACTGGCAGACAGCCCAGATAAAAGAACAGCAGAAAATCTGGCCTCCCCTGTCCGTGCTCAGCTCGTAACTCATTCGGTGAGCACCCTAAAGCCTGCCCGACGGCTGATAAGGAAAGGTTTTATAACTCTGCCATTCCAGATGCTTTACCAGTGTGCGCTCTATGAGGAGATTTGTGAATTTGTGACTTACTTTGAGGGGAGGAGGGAAGGGGCATCTTTGCTCATCCATTCTGCACCCCTGTAGAGAGAAAAGCAAAGAAAGAGACGTGCAATATCTCAAAAGCAGCTATGCAAAGAAACACACCACCAATTTTCAACATCCATTAAAGCCATGTATGGCATTGTACTTGGTGATCATCACTACAGTAACTCATGTTTACATATGCAAGCTCAAAAGCCAGATGTGCTACAGAAAGAGGAAGTGAAAAGGAGGGACATGTTAGAAGCTAGAATGAGCAAAAGGATAGGTGAGGCAAATCCATAGTGCAGATACCATCATATCTTTTTTTCAGTCATTGTGTCAAATCATTTTCTCCTGATTTTATAAATAGTGCATAAAGATAAATAACAGGACTTTTAATTAGTAGCTAAAATATCAAATACGACTATGGAATATGAAGATAATTATTAAATACATACATCATAGTCTGCAGTAGAGTTTTGATGATTTATTTAGAAAAAATAAGTAATAAGATTTAAAAATGATAACCTCTTTAAATAGACAATACACATAAGATATTTTATATCACGGCATTCTGTTTTTCTAAACAATATTTACAAGAAAGAAAACACACTTAAAGCTGAAATAAAACATCAACTATTCAAGGCTGTAGTTCAAAGTGAAGTCATGTGGAGGTCTGTGAAGTAAAAGATGCTGTTTGATCAGAGTACCGCTGTAGTTCCCCCTTCAATATCAAACAAATTTCAGACATGTCTGTAGCGCTGCTGCACTGACAACAAGACAAACTAGATGCACAAGAATCCACCTCAGCAAAATGGAAACTGATACATTTCACACATCTGATGACACAGACAAAACTACCCAGCTGTGAAGAGAAAACACAAAGGAGGCTCTGTTCAGTGCATTCAAAAGCAGAAGGTTTCTGCTGCGAGCCTGAAGCTGCAGATATAAGAGACGGATGCAAGGACAGAAACGCATACAGGGGCGCCGCACTCGCAGGGCTCAGAACGAGAATGTAAGGAGCAGCAACAGAAAAGGGAACTGAATACAGAGTAGCAGGATGTTTTTCTTCCAAAGTGAGGGAAATTCATAGTGTAGAGTTTGATTAAAGCTTGTGAAAAGGGAAGAAAACAAATTAATAAGGGGGAGGCCTGCTACTGTACCTGCATCCGCTCGATCATGGCAAACAGGTCTGAGGTCTGATGGAGAGAGTTGAAACCGAAAAGACACATGTGTTTTATTATCCATAGACATGCTTTACTTTGCTTTTATTTCTGGAATCATTTTCCTACCAAACAAATTCCCCAGTGGCACAGTTTTAATATGTGAAGCTTCTTTTTTGGAGAGTTTCATTATCTCACATAAAAGTTCTACTTCCCAGCCCACTTGGCTCTCTACGTTCACTGCAACAATTGAATCTGTTCGCTTTGAGACAAACCTGCTATAAACAAGCAGCTCTTGGGAGGGGAGGGAGGGATGAACTCAAAACACAAGGGTGATTCTCTGTGTTTCCAGAGTCAACAGCTCTTCTGACTGTGTACAACAGCCAAATTAGCAAATTATCTGGTACTCATTGAGGTTATGCAGTCTGAAGCACAAAGTCACATTAAGGTGTGACTGAGACACAGTTTATCCTGCTTATCATGTAGCAAGCAGAAAGGATGTTAATTTTAACTGACACCAAAACTATGTTTCATTTCATTCATGGCATAATCAGTTTTTGAGCTAACATGTGTCCATAGCGTGCTGATTCTGCTCACAGAGAGATTTCAATCCAGCTACAGGGTTTTAATTACCCCGGAAACCCTTCACTGCTACACAGCTTATGTGTTTTGCTCAGTGTTTTGTCCAATTAGCTCAGGCACTGGTGGATGCTGAAGTCAAAGAAAATACCCTGAGGCAGGCACCTTTCATCTGCAGAGTCCACACTAAGGGCTTGAAGCAGTTCCAACCTGTGCAGAAGGAGTGCGGCAAACAGCACTCCCTGTAAGGGTGCATTGTCAGTTCACCATGTAACACAACTGGACTGCAGTGCCAAGCTGATGTTTCCACATGACAGCTTAAATTTACTGAGGGGTGCTCCAGGCCTTCCAAAACGCATATGCACATGAAAGCACTGAGGAGCACATCCATCTTTTTTTTGTTTTTGTTTTTTACATGAGCATGAACTTGAACTTTCTCTTCTGCCTCATGCACGCACCTGTCGCCACTTGCAAGTGGGAAGGCATCTGCTCAGCTGACTCTGGCTTCGCGAAGCCAAAGGCCAACTATTGCTGTTCGCATTACATTACCATATGAAATTCTGGGAAAATCCTGCATCCAACACTGCAAACACAGACATCAACCCCCATTGTCTGTTGATTTGGCATGTTTTTTTGTAAAATATGCAAACTGCACACTAACATAGTTTGAGCTGAATCTTATTTGAGACAGCAAAAAAGGCAAAGCATTGGTGGAGAGCTAAGAAGTTAAATTCCCCACCAGAATTTGCATACTTTTATTTACTTTTGATCAGATTTCAGGTGAACAAACTAATCTCCAAGCAACACATTATACAAGTGCAGAGGTGTTAAATTAACAGTTATTATAAGATTAAAGACATACAAAAAACAAACTGCTCTGTTACTTAAAATCAGAGAAGGAAAGAGAAACTGAAATGGATTTTGGCAACCACAATAAGAGCGAAAGAATGTCAAACTTTCAAACTATTTTTCTATTTACTCACATCACTGAAGCATCGTCTCTTGATAAAAGGCTTAGTGTATGGCCTGCTCAGAAGTCCCTCCAGTAAGGCACTCTTTGCCATCCTGAGCTCAGTCATCATTCCGCAAGTACAGATGCATGCAAGCCGACAAGAGTGTGGGGTTGAATGTCACCGTCAGCCGCACGAGAAAAAAAAGCCAAGATTGACAGTGACACTTGACACTCACGTTCTTTCAGCAAGTAAACTCAAAGAGGAAAGCCAATACCTGTCCATCAGAATCTATACGTCTGATTCGAGAACTTGTGCTGTAATGTGAGAATATTATTTCTCTTTCCTTCCTCTTTTCAAATACCCCCAGTCTGCCACCGCCCTCCTGGTGAAACACTCACACAGCTGCTCTTTAGGAAGTAGGAGAGGAGGAACAATGTTGCTCCCCTCCCTGTGTAAAAATATCTTCTTTTTTTAATGCAATCACACTCTAACTCTTAGATGTTAACTGAAAAAAATTCTACTTCCCTTTTTGTAACAATACATTATGTGATTTATTCTGTTCCTCTTTACTTTCATTTCAGATTTCTTAAGCCTCCTTTAGATTTCTCCTCAGAAAAAATACCAGTGTGGATCATCCCGAAATATCTAGATGACCTAAGACATACCAAAAGCTTGAACAAACTCCAGCATGTCATTTTTAATGAGATACGGAGATGAGGAATACATTGTGTACTTTCCTGGTGAAATCCAAGATAACTTATGATTCTGTCGACTTTCACACACTGCAGATTCTATTCAAAGCCAATACACAAACAATTACAATTCACGCAAACACTGATGGTGCAAGCTAAGTTGCGTCAGATGCAAACCTCTGCATCCAACACCACATTTACCCTGACATAAATTAGATGGATAAAGAAGTTAATCTTTCTTTGAGTACAGCTTAAGAGGTAAGCTGATATTTCTGTTTTTTCAGACAGACCCGGAAGGAGCTGATTGTTTCCATTCCGATATGTATTTAATTTTTTGTGCTTGATCCAGTGGATGTATGCATGTTATTAATACAATCATATAAACTAAACTGATCTAAAAAGAAATTAATTGAAAAGCTACACAGTTAAACTACAATTTTGAATCTCACACAAAATTAATTTATAAGAAAAAAAAAGTTAGTTTTCTTCTTTTTATGACATGAAATAAAGAAATAAGATAGAGGACATTAGAGGATTGAAAATAATAAGGAAAGGTATTTTGTGTGATCATGTATATTGTATATGTTCATGTAGAATAGACTATATGTATTCCTATTTTCAGTGTTTTTCTTGAAAACAAAACATGGATGGATGGATGGATGGATGGATGGATGGATGGATGGATGGATGGATGGATGGATGGATGGATGGATGGATGGATGGATGGAATCCCTCGCTAGGGAAAAAGTATAAATAATGCACACACACATGTTGTGTCACACTATCCTTGTAAGGACTTTCCATTGACTTCCGCTCATTTCCCACTCACTTATATGGCCTAACCCAGAACCTTACCCCAACCATTCCCAACACATACCTAACCTTAAACCTAACCTAAACTCTATTCACATCTTCGTCCTAAACCCCACCCCTAGAAGAGAACCTAATGGGAACCAGTCGTTGCTCCCCCCAATTACTTATACATCCTAAAATGTAGCATATTCCTGGGAAAAAAAAGTCCCCTCAAGGTAACAAAAACATTGCCACACATACACACTAAAACATACACACATACATATGTCTATATATCATAGATAAATAAAGGACAATGTGCTGCAACATTTATTTATTCATTTTTTAATTGTGATGTTTTTATGTGTTCAGCAACATTTAGCTTCTGTTAGCTTTTGAATATTAATCACCCACCTACATTTATGTAACAAAAGAATAATACAAACCAAAGAACAACCAAAACCTTCGCATTTATGTTCAGGTCTGTGATTTTGGTGAGATATTCCGAAAAAAAGTTTTTGTTTTTTTTAAATAGAGTTTTTCTAAATTTTGGGACAATATAGTCTGATAAAGAGTACAATTATATACATGTTTAAGCCAGAATGATTAAACATTTAAATATGACTTCCCTAAGACTTTAAAGACTATCTCATGCGGCAGTAATACACTTTATCTTACTGTGAAAGTATAGTTGACCAAAATAAGCTACAAGGGATAGAAGAAACTAACTCTGTAATGTCTGTGGTAATGAAGATACAAGATTTAGGGCTTTTCCAAAGCCCTAAATCATGGCTTTAAATGTTTGAAGCTGTATATGCTGTAATGTATTTCAGAGCTTCAGGAAAGCCAATCTTCACCACAGGCACTGCATCTCATTTGTGCATTGTCAAAACTGAGTACTGTAAAAGCTGAATTTTGAAGGTTGGAGACAGAAAGAGGAATAAAAAATAAAACAGATAAAGGTTGATTGGGGGATAAAAGAGGCTGTTTTTCTCTGAAAGCAGATCATTTTCTGCAAAAGATCATTCCATACGGACATTCCTCGACACTGACACTGCCATACTCCTAAAAAAGAAGACCGGTATCTTTTGAAAGAATAGCTTCTTCCCATACTGGATGGACATAAAAAAGATGAATAGAAATGTGTATGTTTCTATATAAGAGAAAAAACAGTAGGTTTCTATAAATAATGGTAAACAGCAAATGACAACATGCAGCTTTAAGGGCACTAATTCAGCTAACAGGTTAGCTGAATGTCAAGCTGAAATCAGCAGGGAAACATTTACTGACAAAAACTGAAGACTAATTACATACTCACCATAGAAGTAAGTATAGCTGGGAAACACTAATTACTGTTCATATTCACACAATGAACCCTGGCATTGTTTTATTTGTAAAGCATACTGATTGTTAGAACATGCTGCTGAGAGCAACACTTTAGTTTGAGCTGAAAAAAAAAATCACCAAGCTGTTGGAGAAACCATGGTTTCTGATGTGATGAAAGATGTACTGGAAAATACAAGAACTGACAAAAAAAAAAAGTTTATTTGGCTGGTTTGCCTCAATGGTCTATTGAGACAATAGGTAGGGATCCACTGCACTGAATACACTATCACTTTGTATTCCCCAGGGGTTTATGTCTGCACAGAACTTTCAGTTAAAGTTAATTACCAGCTTTTATACTGTCTGCATGCTTGCAAAGAGACGGGAAGTGCACAAGAGAGGAGGCCAATTTTACTGAGCAATCGAACGGCTCATTGATTGACTGAGTAAGTGAAAGTCCTAAGCATACTGCATGTGTTTGAATGTTTATAGGAGTTATTATTATCTTTGCCCACATAGGCCAGACATTTAGTCTGGAAGCTGAGCAGTGAAGCTTTGACGCTAAGCTTTCAGACCCAGAACTGCATTTTAAATTCTACTCTACAATGAAACGTTTTCAAATCAATTTCCCTCCACCTACAGTACTTGTTCCCAACTTTCCAATTATATTGTGTGGGTTACAAAGGCAAACGTCTGAGTAAAACAGAAACGTAAACTTCAAAGAAAGATGATCAATAGGGTTTAGTTTCAGCAAAATAAATCCATTAATTTGGCATGGCAGAACAGTACAGCCGGACATTGCTTTGGCCACTGTGGTCTGGAGGACAACAGTTTGTGTTTGCAGGAATGACCCTTTTCACCTCATTAACACTTCGGTCAAGATTGATCAATGCCACAGTTAGGTATTCTGCATACAGAAGCAGGGCAGGTGTTCCCAAAATGACCAGATTAGTTAGTTCTGATAAAAACAATAAATGAATTAATTATTTGAATGTATTGGTTAATGTAATACAATTACTTCATTAATAAATGTTAGTATAGGAGAAACTAGTTCCACTTGTTTTATTTTGTTTGTTTTTTCATTTACTGAAATATATGCATGAACCATGTATGGGCAAATGCCAAACTATGGAGACAAGGTCTATGCCACTTTTTTTTTACATGGGGTAGCATTACTGAAGTAGTAACTCCACTTTAACTCTTTCATGGGTTAACATGAGGACATTGGCTCACTATATTAAGTTATGTGTTGAGTAACACAAATAAAATGTAGCTCCAACTTCATTGAACTGCTCCAATTGGTAACAGGGCGGCCCAACTTCATTTATTTAAGTTTTCAACTAATAAACTAAAAAAATTAAGTTGGATCAACTTGGTTCAGTCACTTGTTATCAACTGATGCAATCACTGAAGTTGGCAAAGCATTTTCTTTTTTTGAGCGCATGTCTTTAAAATACCGTACTAGAATATATAAACTTGTACATAAAACAACACATATTCCTGTATCTTTCAAAACTGTGTTAGGTTATATCTTATTTTATGTTGTAATAAAATACATGATAATCAATAGAATATATTTTATGTATTTTCAAATTAGAAAATATAAATGATGTCTAAAGGACTTATATCGGGAAAGTTAGTTCAGTATTTACATTGCACTACTTTTTTCTTATTTACAGACCTTCAAGGAATAAGTTTTGTAATCAAATAAATATTTGTATTTGTAAGGTTTTACAATGCTTATTAAAATGTCCTATGCAATACATTTTCATACATTATATGCCATATTAAATATATAATATAAACTGTATATAAATATAAGTTTTCAATGAATTACAATATAAATATGCACTATACATATATATATGTATATATATATATATATATATATATATATATATATATATATATATATATATATATATATATATATATATATATATATATATATATATATATATATAAATGTATGTATATATATATATATATATATGTATATATATATATATATATATATATATATATATATATATATATATATACACACATACATACTTTTCTTTTAGTTAACTGAAGCCATATATCTTTTAAGATTAATGAATTATATTTTCTTTTTCCATAGGGACAACAACCCATCTATCACCCGGTCCATATCACAATCAGATAAATCTTAACTAAGCCTTTGTAATCTACTCCTGTTAAAAGCTGCTGTATGTAGGTTTAAAGTGACAACATTCAGTAAATCATTTTAAAAGCACTGATACCAGCAAATAGCTCCTAACAAAAAGCATCAAATTGATTATGCAAATGTGATCAATGCAGTATACATTTAAGATGTACTTAGCTCTTCCTTTAATCACATTTTAAGGATGTTGCTGAGGTTGTTTACAGATCCATGATGGTTATATTGTTGTAGAACCAACCTCAAGCAGAATAAGCGGGTGGATACAGAAAACTAGGTTAGATTA